ATGATAATCGTGTTTGCTTTAGAGTTGCGAATTATGACACCGCGATTGTTTTTTGCAATTCTGATTGTTGTCATTTTCATAGTTGTCTTAGTATCATGTAATTTTATCTTCCTTTCTGTTGTTTTAAATTATATTAAAAAAATCATTGCTTTTAATTAATTTTAGAATGTTAGAACATTCATAGTAATTTTTTCTTCATCACAGTAGCTTTCGTATTGTTGACAATAATTTTCATTGAATTTGGCTTTAGAGTTAGTGTTGCGATATTGTTCCTTCGCGATTTCCAATTAGTTTGTCTCTAATTATTAGTGTTGCGATAAAGAACGATCGCGTTTCTTTTCTGAAGTAGCGTTGCGTTTACGAAATGCCCAAATTCTTCCACTGGATTCGTGGAAGCCTGTTCCTGCTCCTGCATCACCTGATGCAACTTAAAGAGTTGTACAAAGGTGGCCATTCATCAGCAACGTCCAGTTGTATTGGACACGTCGCAATTAGTGTTGCGTATTTCTAAATATGAGTGCATAGATTAATAGCGTTGCGTATTTACTTTCGGGAGTTTTAAATATGACTAGCTAATAAGCACTTTTCGCGTTTGATTTTGAGAATTTTCTGTTTCACAATTAAATGTTAGTGTTGCGAAATAAGATACGGTTTGTTGTCGAATATAGATCTAACAATAGCCCTTCTGGTTATTATATTGAATAGGAAATGTTCTTTTAGTAGTTATTCTAGCTACTGAATCGCGATTTCTTTTTCAGTGGCCCTTCTGGCTATTGTTTTAGATTTTCTTTGCCAGTAGCACTGTGTTTATATGTTTATATAGTAGAATGATTTCGGTTAGTTATCAGCTTTACATTTCGATATTGAAAACTTGACAACACTCTAATGAATTTCAAAAATCATATTTCTCCAATTCATCGTTGTTTAAGAGCGGAGTGCGCTAAAAAAAACAGTGACTTTTTTATGTCAGACCCCTTTAGCATTTTCATATCCTATCACATCCTACCATATCGATTTAGGTAGGTTTTGCACTGCAGCGCTACTAGTAATAGGAATTAAAATCAGAAAATATGAATAATGTTGTTACATCTGCACCGAAACTTATTTATTGAATTGAACGTGATTGCTTTTTTACTTGCATGACTACTCTTAAGAGACGACCAACTTAATCTTTGACCATAATATAATTATTTTCTACATAAATTAGTAATATATGTCACATCATTTAGTAATTAGCATTTAGTCATATGTCAACAGAATTATAAGGTTTATTTCTTTTTAAATATGTTTTTTTAAATATGTCAAATTATCGACAACGTCACATGTAAGGGATGGTTTCCAACAACGTGGAATGCGAGAAAACGTTGCATTCTGTTTCGAGTCCATGTTCACGTCATCGTTTCGATATTAATTTCGATTTTTCCATCCCGTTCTTCATTCACCTTCTTCGTGACAGTAATCTTTCAGACATGTACAAGGAAAATTAGCAAGTAAAAATTTACCAACAAACTCGATTCATCTTGATTTGTCAAAGATGAACATTTTTCAAAATTTATATTAAAATTGGTTTTGTTTAAAGTGGTATCAGGCAAGTATCAGCCATCTTTCCTCTTCTCTACTAAATTAGTTAGAAAGAACACATTGAGACAAAATTGTTACAAAAATTTCAACAAATGCTTTTTAAAAAGCAAAAAGTAAAAGTAAATCGTTTTCGGAAACAGAACGGACACGACGCGATTCTTCCTCAAATCTCAAGCACGAATAGGTTACAAATTGATCATACAAAAGATCATAAAGAGAAAAATTTCAATAAATCACAAATATCTGTTTAACGATAGAGAAGAAATTTGTTAAAATTCTTTCGAGAGCTATTTGAAATAAATTCAGAAACAATATGACGGACACGACGGGTAACAAGAAAGTGGAGATCGTGAACGGTCCAGGAACATCTGGCGAGGGTGACGCTCTTCCAAAAAAGAAAAAGGCAGCACGCTTCGATTTTGGCAGACGATGGCACAAATTTCGCGTTCTGACGCCGAATTCGGCGATCCTTCGCGGTTCTTATTCGATGAACGACCGCCACTTCAAATATAGAAGCCGTGGCCGTCAAGCAGCTCCGGCGTCCATCGTAGCCATTGTCTATGGCCGTTTATTCGAACCAAAAGAATGGGTGAAGGAATACGTGGATCAAATATTAGAATACGGAGACAAAGTGTTTCGTACCAGCGTGATGAGAAATCATGTGAAGGACAACGAATATATGAAAACCAGCCTGGTCTATCCAGAGTTCTACATCTCCAATTACAAAGTCCTAATTTGCGCGGAAGAAACAGGGATTTACGGGAACTTGTTTAGTGAAACCGTAGGCTGTCCAGATTTTGCCGACGGATTGCAAAAATTCTTTCAGAATAACGATGCCGGAGTGATCACGGCACAAGGAACTTCCACGGCCATGTGGCGTCATCCTGAAATTGGTTTTCTTTTCTTCGATCCATCAGCTTGCGACGAGGACGGTGTTCACCATCCGGATGGTGTAGCCTGTGTCATGAGGTTCAAGTGTCTGAACGACATTCGCGATCATTTTCTCAAGAACATGGATCAGAAATACGACTCCAGGTATTGCATCGACAAGGTGACCATATTGAAGGTTACCGAAGTAGGTCGTGGATACATCGATCGTTTGCCAAGCAGCGCTCGTCTGACTGTCGACAGGAGCGTTCTAAGAACTATCAATCCAGTCGACATCGATGAGAATAAAATGGATTGTACTAAACCGGCACCAAAGGGAGAGAAGAAGCAGGTGGTTACGGCGGCTAAAATTCACAGGGAACCGTTACAAATCACCATTTCAAATTATAGCATCGACAAGCGTTTCGCAACAGATCCTTTGGTAGATCAGAATAAATTTGATACCGGCTACACGTACGACGATATGCACGTGAACGTGCCATCGACGTTCAGGGAGCTCCCTGGTCAAATGGCGATTCTTCACGGATTGACTCACGAGCACAGTGAGATGTACAAAGGGAAAGGAGCTCAGAACGTAGCGAACTGTGTTCTGGCTATCGCCATGAAGAAGGTTCATCCTGTGAAAACTTGGCTGAGACCGAAGTTGGACCAAATATTGGAGTTGGGCGATGCTCTGTATGCTGAAGTGAAGTCTGCCAAACCAATGATGAGAAACATGACGGCTCCTGACTTGAACGATGTAAAAATCGAGGTAGAAGACAGAAAGTTGGTTATAGACGTAGATTTAATCACGGTCACTGGAACGATCTCTTCGAAGATACCGACTGTGTTGAACCTGAAACAGGCTTTGGAAGAATTCTTCCTAGTTAATACGGAAGGAGTGATCGAATCTTCTTCCATGTCCGTGGCGATTTGGAGCAAGGACGATTGTTTCTACATGTTCGATCCTCGCCAGTGTGACATGGTTGGAGTGAGGATTCGAGATGAAAAGGGTGGAAAAGGCGCGAAGGCTGAGAATTCTCAAAGAAGAAAGGGGAACTGTTGCGTGATAAGATTCCCCAATACCGACGCATTGGCTGGCTTGTTCATGAAAAACTTGGAACACGCGAAGAAGAACGATCGTTTCACCATCAGACACATCACGATTCCGGACGACGTTCCTGGGACCAGACCTTGGCACGATTTCCAGCCAGGAACAGCGGGAGAAACGTGGGTTCTTCAAGGAACTATATCGAACGAGGACGAAGAATTCGAGGACGAAAGTCGAGGTGTTCAGGGACTGGCCATGCCGGTGATAGCTCTGATCAGTGCCAGAGAAACACCGCCGTCGAAATGGACCGACGAGACCATCGATACCATAGTTAGAGAGGGAGACGCTTATTACAATTGGTGTAATCCAGTCGTGGAAGTTGGCGAGGACGTTGAACGATATTTCTTCGTTTCAAACTTGAAGAAGAATTTATACTTCAAAAACAGAAAGGTGAAGATCGACGTGGAGGAAGGGATTATTGTCGGAGACGTGACTTCGCCGTTTGATAGCGATGTCCCAAATTTGGTAACCGCTCTGAAGCAGTTTTTCGAGGAGCATCAGTATGGGATCGTCGAGTTGAAGAACTTGCACGTGGCCGCGTGGAAGGTCGAGGAACAAGTTAAAGAAAAGGACGAAATGGTGCCACAGAACGTGTACTACTGCTTCGACGCTAATCCTCGAAACAAGGAGGGTTTATGGCTGGTGGACGAAGAGGAACCTGGAGAAAATGCGGCCTGTGTAATTCGAACTTTAGACCTGTCTGTCTTGGCCAGTATAATCGAAACGAATGCAGGTCAGGATCCAGAGACCAGCAACGAATTCTCCATTCATAGTATGAAGGTTATTTCCATCGGCCAAGAAATGAGCGAGGAGGAAGTCGAAGCGGACAAACAGATCCCGGTGAAGCCTGACTTGAACAATTACTTCAACATGGGCGAGAACGGAGCTATTTTATTGGGAAGCTTTAACCAAGGTAACGAAGTGATGTTTAAGAAACACACGAGGGACAAACAGCAGGCTGGAAGTGCCTTGGCGGCTTTAGGAATGACCAAACTGTATAATCCTCATTTATGGTACAGAGAAGTAGTGGATGATATACTTAAATTGGGTGATAAGATTACCACAGACAATTTAGAGAATCTTCCGGAAGGAGAGGAAGAAGAGGCACCAAGGACTTACCTAATCCCCAGCGAAATTAGCGAAGATTTCGCTGTTGGAGTAAATAGAATATACGTTGACCTCGAGGAAGACAATGTCACTGGCAAGATGACTGATTTGCAGTCACAGCTGGACACTTTCTTTGAAACGAACGTTATGGGGATATTTAAGCAAGATCACGTAATAATGCCTATTTGGAGAGAGGGCGACGTGTTCTTCACAATGGATCCCAAGGGAAGGGACAGTCGAGGAGAGCCTCGAGAGAAAGATGGTGCAGCTGCTGTAATGTGGTTCACTGACATCGAATCGTTAGCCAACGCGATTACAGCAGTCGCCACCGGCGAGGATTTCACTATGGACGCAGTTAATTTGGACAACGCTTACGAGACACGTGTGGCTGAAGAGGAACGTCCAGCGAAGCCCAGTTCGGGTGACAATCCATGGTACAACTTCCCGAAAATGACAGAAGGTGTATGGAGTATCGATGGCACGGTTGGTATGGATGACGTGAAGTTCGAGAAAGTCAATCGAAATAATCAGACCGCTGCTATTGCCGTGATGGCTATCGTGTTCGCGAAAGTGTACGAACCTAGGTATTGGACGCAAGCTGTGCTGGATGAGGTCATAGTGACCGGAGATAAGCTACATTCGAAATGCGTGGAGAGACTTGGAGAAGGTACCATTCCGAGAATCAACGATATTATGACGGAGTTTTTCCTTTCGACTCGTCGAATCAATTTAAGCATCAAAGATTGCGTCGAGGCTGGAAGTCTAACAGCCAAACCACCTAAAGTTCAGGACCTGAAGACCGGGATAACTAATTTCTTCTCCAGGTACAACTCAGGCGCGCTGACCATCAGTCCGAACAGAAATATCGCTGTTTGGAAATTTAACAACGATTACTACGCTCTGATACCAGATTGGGCGACTACCACAGGCGGGGCAACGCTAGTGAGGCCGAAGATCCTGCGTTTTACCAATATCGCTACTCTCATAGAGTACCTTCAGGACTTTTTAGGCAGCGAGGGAGATTACGAAATGATTGCCATTGATATAGTGAATTTGAACAAGCTTCCACCGTGGAAGTTCGATCCCAGTTCTGCTGTTCGCCCTTCGAATCTGCCACCTTTGAACGCCTATAGAAGAGCTCGTGGCGAGGCTCGAGCAATCTTAAGAGGAAACTACCATCAGGGTGACGAGGTCTTTCCCGAACAACTGAGAAACAAACAGGGAGCGGCGAATTGCGTCGTCGCTCTTGGAATGTCTGTAGTGAAGAATCCAGTTACTTGGACGAAGAAGACCATGGACGAGATCCTCGCCATTGGTACCAACGTCCATAGGGAGACGCAGAAAGCGAAACCAACGATAGTTCGCGTGAAACCGAAAGACATTATCAGAGTGTTCTACGTAGGAGTTAATATCTTAACTGCCGATATAGAGTCAGGGACCGTGGCTGGTATAGTCGCGATTCCCCCGCCGGATCCCGAGGACAAGAAGAAAAAGAAGGCGAAACGGGCGAAACGAGCAAGAACCAGAAGAGCCAGGAGTAGAAGACCCGAAAGGATTCGAGCTCCACCACCGCCGCCGATTCTCCTCGAACAAGGTGTACCGCTATTTTTCGAGAAGAACCGTGCCGGGATTTTGGTCACTGATCGAGGAGCAGTGGCCATTTGGAAAGACATGGGCGTTTACTTTATGTACGATCCTCGCGCACGAAGCGATCAAGGCTTGCCAGACTTCTACGGGACCTCCTGCGTCATGTGGTTCGCCTGTCTGGAACCACTTTACGAAGCTCTGTTCGCTAATATCGACGAGCAGGAGAAATACGGGCATTATGAGATCTGTAGAGTTATTATCAGGACCGCCATGATCGAACCTTTGCCTTGTCCAGCTGGTTTCAGACCTTATTTCGATTGCACAGCTCCACCGATCCCTGTCACGCCGATGGTAGGAGCGAAGAAGAACACCACACTGGACGTCGAGACAATTACGGAGTATAACGTCGTGAACGAAGAACTCAGCATCCTTCTTGGTACCCTGAACATGAATCATAGAATTTGGCGCACGGACACAAGAGGATTTCAGAGTACGGCGATCGCTGCCGTGGCTATCGTGGTCGGTCTTCTTCACGTGCCTTCTACTTGGACGCCTGAATTGATCGACGCGATTCTGAGATACGGAGATCTGTTGCATTCGGACAGCGTGCGGGCCACTCTGTCAGGCAACAGGAATTTATCTCCCAGCGAATTGCTAACCGTCTTCATCGTTGGCGATTTTAGAGCCACGATACACATTCACAATCACACCGCAGCCGGATTGCTCCATACCTTCGATTTGTCCGAATCTTTGGCCATGTTCTTCCGATCGAACTGCGCTGGCATTCTTCACACAAACAACATGGCAGTCGCTGTGATGCAGCATTACGGGAAGTTTTATCTGTTTGATCCTTGCGCCAGAAACGACCAAGGTAGACCGAGCTTTGACGGTGCGGCCTGCGTGATGAAGTGCGAGAGTATTATGAAAATGGCCAAGGTGTTTGTAACTAATTGCAACTTGAAAACGCCGAATGTATATACCTTGAACGCCGTGAACGTGCTGAGTTTGTACTTCTTCTCCGACGCGAAGACGCAATGTCCGCCCAAGTGTATCCAGTGATCAGAATTACCTTTACTATCTTTGTCACGTTTTTCGTTTCAAATCGAGAAATTTGCTCGGATGTTGTATTGTAACAATGCTTCAGCATGTCGAAATGTTTTCAATTCATCTATTATGTTTGGAAGATGTTTCGAATAAACTAAATTGATCAACTGCTTATTTATTAATTCGGTAATTGAAAGGAATATTTAAGGATCATAAGTTAGGAAAACATTGAACGATAATTAACGATTAGAACGATGACGAGGTATTTGTTGAAGAAAAACAAAAACTCTCAGGAGAGTAGTATTTTTTATTTAACTTTCGTCCCATTTTTCGCTCTCTCTCTCTCTCTCTCTCTTGATTTGATTGTACCAGTTGTTTTACAATATCATCGGAAGCCAAGTTTCATTGCATCTCGAGATGAGATCAGTCTGGAGAAACTGATACGCGTTATTTCCCCTTGTGATTTCAAAATGAAAATGGTAATTTATCTACAATTCTTTTTCGAGTTCTTTGTTCGAGAATCAATCGCGCTGTTCGAGCCATTATTATGAAACTCCGCCTCAGAATAATAACATACTCTCAGAATTCTAATTCTATCCAAGTGAAGCAAAGTTTCTTGAATTTCACCATCGTATCGATTTCGAACGGACAAAGAACGGGTAAGCAGAGGTGAAAAAAAAAAGAAGAAGAGAAAGAAAAACAGATAATAAATCGATGCGGTCAACAACATTCTCAAATTGCTAATTTTATTTATAGGTTTCTTTATGACACAAATCACTTTTAGCATCTACAATGAGTAGGAGTACAAGCTATACGAGAATGAATTTGATACAGATCACTTATTTAATGTAAATACAATGTATTCTCTTCAATTACACGCTATATAAACTAGATACTTAGAAAACACTGTACAACGCAGCTGAAAACTGTCTGTGATACTTTACAATATTTTACAAACACTCCTCGAAGCGAGACGAGCCTAACCGCGCGCTTTGAATCCCCATTCCCTTTTCTCACCGTGAAAAAAGACGAGTCACGATTCATAATCAGCAACGGTTAGGGCGTTTCCCGAGTGACTTTTCGCATGACGTTTCTCACGTGGTCTGTAGGCCGTGTGTTTGCTAGCGGATCCCGGAAGCTACTCCACATCTGCCACGCTTTTTTGTCTACGATTCTTCCGTTCCAATCGCGAGAATCGTCCTCTCCCCCATTCTTTCCTTCTTATTTATTCTTGAAAAGATTATCACGAGGAGTAGCTTCCTTATCCTTGACCACTCGTTGGGGG